TGCATAAAGAGCATGTTATTGTATTGTGTAAAAATAGATATATTAAAGTGTTTAATTTAAAAATTTTCAGCTTCAGGGTAGTATATTTTATCATAGTCAATTTTAATTTGCTTGAGAGATATTTTAAATTGAGATTAAATTTCATAGTAGGTAATTATGTAAGCTAATATGTGTATATCAGTAGTAGAGTCTATGATTTTTTTAAGCGCTTTCTCTTTAGATAACTCTTGAATACTATTATTTTCTGCTGCTGTTTGTAGGTATTTTTTTAAGTATTGGTAAAAGTAGTATGTAGTTTGAGCAATTTCACTGTTTACATTGTTAAGTGATGCAAAGTCTTTTTCAGTTGATATGGCTAATTTTCTTAGTTTAGTTATAGGTGTTAATTTTGAGAATATTGCTGCTAATTGTTGTTCTGGTTGAAATAATTTGGTTTTTAATAGAGGGTGGTCCCATTCTTTTGTGTTAGTTCTAACACTGAATAGAATTTAAATAATTGTACGAAATAGTAATTGGAAATACTTTCAAGGCAATGTTCTGTTTTTTCTAGTAATAAGTTGCAAGATTTGTTATTACATTTATGAAAATGATGAAGTGCTGCTTTAAAAGTAGTTTTAGATCATTCTTGAAGTGTAGATAAAGTACTTGGAAGAAAGTAAGTTTCTGGTAAAAGTTCTTTTTAGTCTTCAATAAGTTTTTGAGATATTAACATTTTGATATAGTTACTTGTTTTTTGTTGATCAATTTTTTTAAATTAAATTTTGTAGTTTTTAAAGAATTTTTAAAACCAGGCTTCATAAGTTTTGATATGAGGTTTAAGTAAAAGAATTTTGAAATTATCATTAAATTTTTTTGCAGGAATATTTAATTTAACTTTAATATTGAATCTGTTGTTATTTTGAATATCGAATAGTAGCTTATCTGTATCATAATTGATATTAAAGTTTAAAGTAAAGTGTAGTAATTTGATGTCAAGTTTTTTTATAAATTTTTCAAAGTTAATAGTTTTGTAAGTATGGTTTAAATATAAGTGTAAGCATGCTATGTTAATGAAAACTTTTTTTTGTTGTTTGCTAAGTATAGTAAAATGAAGTAATATGATTGAAAAATATGTAAATAGTCCAGTTAAGTAAACAGTACTGTTATAAATTTGAATACTAAGCCTTTAAAAGTTTTAACTAAAACTTTAAAAGAAATAGGGTTTGATTTGTCAAATTCAGGATTAGCTTCAAGAATAAAGTCAGTTAGGAATTTGAATTTGCTGCTAGCCATTTTATTAAGTATATAGTTAAATTAATATTTAGCAGAAGGTCTGTTATTTGGTTTTGTTTCAGTTGGTTCATATATTATTACTAATACTCAAATTTAAGTAAGCCTTGGCCACTCTTGTAGGTTTAGATTACAAATTATATGTTTAAGTCTTTATACTTTATATGTAATTTAAAAGCAAGCTTTTTTTATAAAAATTTTAATTGAATTTCAATAAAGTTAAAGACATGACCTCACTGTTAATATTTAAAAAATAAATAAAATTAGTTATTATTCAATATAACTATTTATTAATAGATATTTTTTAAATTTTTCTATTGGCTTTTAATTATATTTGGAACTAATATATTCTTATACTTAAAAAAAGCATCATTAAACTCTTTAAAATTTGTTTAATTTAACTTATTTTTAAGATTTATTTTTAAATTAAGATTAATGTAAAATATATATAAATGATAAATTGAATCTGAAGTTTTTAAGTTTATTATACTAATTATTACTGAATCTGAATTAGTAAATATGAGATTTAGTATCTGACTTTCTGTATTTTTTTTTTTTTTTTTGTTAAAGGCTATACTTGTAGTGATACTTTATTGACTTATATTGGATTAACTATTACAACTATTTTTATAGAGATGAAAGTACAGCTAGTTACACATGCAACTTTTGATTGCCTATTTAAATAGTCTACTTTAAGGTTCTACATTAGATACCATATCTATAATCTACTAGGAAATTATTCATTTAAACTCTCTGATTATCTGCCATGTTATATTGGAATCCCAACTTATTCTTTATATATATCTAACTGTTATATTGTCTAAGCAGTATAGTACCTACTCTTTTTGTACTGGTTTTCAGGCTGTTACATATTTCAGAGTACATCACTTGCCAATAAAATGCAAGAGGCCCCCTATTGTTAACTATTTATCTACTTTAGAACACTAATACAGACTACTTTTACAGAGTTTACCCAGTCTTTAGTACTGACTTCATAGCATATCCTTAGTACTTTTAGTATATTTCTGTTTTGAATTCAGACTTTCAATCAAGATAGCTTAGAAGGACTGTGACTTGTCCTTGGTATATTGAGACCAGCCAAATAATTTTTTCTTCTGGTCCAAAATCTGACAGCCTGGTTGGTAATACTTCTCACTCAAGATTCTTGTCTGCCTGATTTCTTCACATTGGTATCTATTTCCTAGATCTAGCCTTTACAGTAGTACCATCAAAGATCTGTGTTACCTCTCTGCTCAGAATTTCTAAGTGAGCTCTGGCTTCTCAGTTCTATAGATTTATATAACCCAAGAACTTATTTTAGATTTGCACCACCTAGTACTGGTTTGCATTCCTCTGTGTAACAGATTATACAGATGCCCCATACCTGCCAGTCATGCTGATGCAACTATAGTTACAGGTATCTTATCTTAACTGATCAACAGAATGTTGTTGCTGTAATACTGTCTATATATTACATAGATGATTATCCAAATTTCATTATCAGTGGGTTTTGAACTTACAACCTATCACTTGGAAGTATAACAACTTATTCACTTCACTAAGTTGCTATACCCTTTTTTCTGCATATTTTTTAATTATCCTTAACACCAAAATAAAACTACTTTCTGTCTTATTTTTAAGTAATGCAGTTGCAACAAGCCATGTTTAATTATAATAGTTAATAATAACAAAAAAACATACTATTATGTTATACTTATTAGTATAAGACATTGCTTAAAGAAAAAAATATTGTAATAATTGTTTTATAAATTTTGTTATTTAGATAACAATTATACTAATTCATATAATTAACATTCATCTTTTTCAAACTTTGTCTTTATAAACTAATAAGTGTCTTTAGTTTGTCTTAAATATAATTATTTTATAAGATCTGATGTATCATATTTAACTCATGTTATTAAACTTTTTTTGACCATTTAAATTGCATTATAAAGTGCTTTTTGATAAATCTTTTTTTTAGAAACTTTTTTTTTAAAAGATATCTAATACTTTTGATAATAGTTATACTATAATGTATACAAAACTCAATAAACTCAACTATTTTATTACTAAACTTATAATATTTTGCTATACTAGTTAGAGATGAAAGAATTATTAAGTGGTTATGTTCATTTATAATAGTGGTAAAATGAATCATAGATGTACTTTTTGAAAAGTTTTTATTAACTCTTTATTGACAAGATGCCTTTGATTTTTAATTCTTTTGATTATTTAAATTTAATATTTTTTTTGTCAGATACTTAACAGAGAAACTGTATTTTCAACTAACCCTAGTTAAAATTTGATTATCATTTTCTAGTTGAGTTTTAATTTGTTTTTTTGTATACTAAAACCTTTTTCTAACTCATGTATTTAAGAAATTTTTAGTATCATTTCAAGTATAAAAAGACTACTCTAAAATATTTAAATTATTTAACTAAAGTGTCTTATTTACCTTAAAAAAATTATTATTCTAACCTTAATAAAACTCAATATCTAAATTTTGCTTAACACAAATTTTAATTTGATATACAAAAAATATAAAAACTTATCTAAGATTATTTTAAGCAAAGAAACATTTGATTATTCATATGAAGAGTCTGTATCTGTATCATATATAAGGACCTAACTTATGTCATATTCAATTAATGTTTCATTAAATGATTTGTTTGACTCTTTGTTTATTGCTTTGTTAAGTGACTTATTTGGCTCTTTGTTAATTGTGACATCAATGAATTCAATATCCTTATATAATTTTATAACTGAAGCTTCTGTATTTGATATCCCCGTAGTTGATGATTTAATTGGTGCTTGTATAGTCAATGTGTTCTGAGAGGTAAAAAAGACTATTAAAATGCATAAAAATTAACACGTGAACTATAAATATGTTAAAGACGTGTCTATTAGTGCCTGCTTTTAAATATTTTTTTACTTCCATATTTACTTTCAACACACCCATGTCACTAATGTTGAGAATTTAACAATATTCCTGTCGTTTAACAAATTATAACCCTTTAACAATATTAAATCAGTGGACAAAAAAAGATTCGCTTTTGTTCTGATCGAACCCTTATTTATTTATTTAATTTAAATCTCCAATCACCTACATCTGTCAAAATATCACTTCCGGTAATTTTACTTGGTAGTTATTTTCTTGATTTTAATATTCTTTTAATATCCTTTGACTTTTTTAATTATAATTTTATTTGTTGCTTGATCAAGAAACTTTACTAATAAAATAGTGCAGTATTTATCTGGCAGTTATTACGTCAGAAAATCTATTTCTACAACAAACTTGACATTAACACTGCTTAATGTATATTTGAATGTTGTAATTTAATATTATAGAAAATTTTATAATAGTAAAAAAAAACCAGGTAGAAATAGTTTCGAAATTTAAAAAACAAAGGTAGTTTATATTAAAACCCTCCAAAAGTGGTCTCGTAAAAATGCACTATATATATACATTAGCATATCGATATAATAAATTTTTTAAAAAATCTTATAATTATATGCTAAGTGTGTATTATTTGCAATTTCATGATATATAATTCGAAGAATAATAAAATACATCAATAACATTTGCTCAAAAATTTTAAATTGTACTTACAGCATTTTGATTATATACGTAAATTTGAATATGCTTTGCTAGATGTACATATATGAATCTAGTTGTTTAACCTAAGCTTAGTTATTAGTTGTTATAAAAATTAATTTAAGAACATCACATGTCAATAATAATAGATATAATGATGTGGAAAATATACGTAATTATTATAATGTGGAAAATATATATGACTAAAGTTCTCAATAATAACTTTATTACCAGCCTTTTCTCGTTCTTCTTTTAAACAAAGTTTGTTACAGCAAAGTCCTGAACAAATAGGGAAAGTGGAAAAGCCATCCATAAATGTATTTTCTCCTCCAAGGGCCAGTGGATTCCCACTGAGGATTAAAACCATTAGAATGGTATTTTTGTTAAGGGAATCTATTAATGCTTTTACTCCGTCAAAAGTAATAATATTATTACTAACATCTAAAAAAGTCAGGGTATTATTCTTGCCAAGGGATTCTGCTATCGCCTTTCCCCCTTCAAGGCCAATTTCATTGCCATTAAGATTGAAATAGGTCAAACTAATGTTTTTGCAAAAAGCTTCTGCGAAAATTTTTGCGCCTTTAGAGCCAAGTTTATTATAACTAAGATCTAAAGAAGTTAAAGTATTATTTATGTAAAGTGCCTCTGCCAAAACTTTTGCACCTTCGTGATCAATTTCGTTGCCACTAAAAATCAAGGAAGTCAAGGTATTATTCTTGTAAAGAGCCACTGCTAATTCCTTTACTCCCTCAAATCCAAGTTTATTCCAGGAAAGATTCAAAGATGTCAAAACACAATTACTGGCGAGTGTTTTTATTACGTTTATTACACCATAAATAGGCATATTATAAATAATATCCAAAGAAGTTAAGTTTGTATTTGTATGGAGAACTTCCAATAATTTTTTTATTCCTTCTGCATCAAAGTTATTGCATTCAAGTTTTATAGAAGTCAGATTGGTGTTTATTTTAAGGATTTCTATTGTCTCGCTATCAATAATTCCGCAAATTTTAAAAATTTTAAGTTTATAGCATTTTCGCAGAAACATTTTAATCAACGAAGATCTAACAGTTTGAACTGTTTCATAAGAATTATTAGGATAATCTAAAAGACGCGATGATTCGTAACAAATTAAACCAAATAAAGGAGGGCAAAGCCATTTTTCGATACTATCATATAAATTATAACCTTCGATAGAAGTCGTATAATCTATATATTCAAATAATGGATTTGAAAATTTGGGTAGTTTGATGTTTAGTGGGATAAATCGTTTTTGTTCTTCAATGTTTAACGATAAAAAATAAATCATTACAATCCTATCATCAACGAAATAATTTAACGGTTTACTCCACAATATTTGTACTGCAATTCTACACCAGTTTCGATTTACAAGAAGGCAAGAAAATAAGCTTTTATGATACTTCGTAAGGTCATCAAAGTTTTTAAATATTTCATAAAAGCATTCATTCGGTAACTGCTCAATCATTTTAAAAGTGTAGTTTATGAGGTAGTAAAATCCCATTTAAATACATCTTACAACAACACAAACACAATTATGGGAATTAGTCCAATATACTGATCTGCATATTGCATAAATTGCGGTATCTATATTTAATGCATCAATAAAGAAACCATAAATGAACAAAATTAACCTACTTTAGCCGTTGGGCAGGCTTAACACTAAAACTGTAACAGTAAGCCATTCTTTTGTTCCACTTCCGCTCCCGTAAAATTCCGATATAGGCGTAGAAATATTTACGTCACAGTTATATTCCAGTATTTCATTAATGTGTGCCACTGGCGGAGTACATGCGTACATACATTTCCATTTGAATGAAATGTTTCCCTCTGCATTTCAACTTTTCTGTACGCTGTGAAAGGGTAGATTGTTGCTTGAAATCGATTTTTCTAAATATTGTGGATCGGATGCATTTGATTTCGTGAATTTGATGCTGAGGTGGCTCTAGCCAATATTAGTTGTATAGTCAATTAAGTTCATTTATTCGATTTATCGCATTAACGCTTATAGTTCATTAAGTGAATTTTAGCGTATAAATTCATTCTGCACAAACTAATAGTGCGAAAATACAAAAAGCATTGTAAGGTCATGACACAAACTAGGGATAGGCTATTGCGCAACTTGTGCAGTTTTTTAAAACTGAACTACACAGAAAATTTTTATTATTTTAATTAGTTAACATAACTTTGTTAACTTTTATAATGCTAGCTTAAATGAAATATAATATTTGCAGACGATTGTTTGTAATTAATTAATTACTCGGCCATTCAAATGGTTGTAATTTTATACTAACGCAAGTTCACGTGTAGGGATGGATCTACTGCACAGCCTCAGTCCCTAGAGACTTTTGCTCATTAGGTTCCGCGTTTATATATGTATATAATACATCCACTTCATATGTGTAAAGTTGAGCTACCATCATTTTTAATTAGTGTTCCAAGGTTAATTAGACATCTGTTTTTTTTTTTTCCTGCATATCGGTGGATTTGCATTATCTGGAACTCATCCTTAATAATCCTGGTCAAATTTGCTGATCATCGGACCAAATCTAGAACAAAACAACTTTAAATGTGGTCAAATGATCTGCAAGTTTGACCAGAATTATGAATAAAGAGATTTCCGATTTGTAATTTAAACCTGGATTATAAAGTAATCCAGAATTATACCAGCTGGCCTGAATTATAAAAATTGCACTGCACAGTCTCAAAACATGCCTGCACAGTTTCCCATCTCTAATCACGTGTAGTGTTGTTAGGCGAAACCATTTTGGGCAAATGGCGAAAGAAGAATCCTAAACCTGGCGAAATACGAAAGACGAAACTCCCCGGCGAAACTAGCGAAACTCCTGGCGAAAGGCAAACCCTCAGAGAAGGTCAAAACTCAGCGAAGATCAAATCCTCTGATGTTGATGGATGAAAATATTTTGCGTAGTTATAAAGTACAGCATGTGGCTTATATAAAAAATGTATAAGCAAAGCAATAGCTTTTTGTTTGTATTCAAATATTATTAAAAGAAAATTAGAATTCAAACATTTGATGAAAATAATTTGCGGCTCACATGGAAAATGTACAAAGTAATAAACAAAACGATAACAATTTGTTTGTATTCAATTACTATTAAAGGAAAGCTAGAATTCAGGCTTTAGAATTCATAATTAAATATACAGTCGACCCTCCATAAATGCACCTTCTATAAATGCACACACCACTCTAAATCACACCAATCTTCAGCCCTGAGCCTATAGAGCACTTAATAAAATGCCCTTCATAAATGCACACCCTCTCATTTTGCTTATAGTCCCAAGGGGGTGCTTTTACGGAGGGTTGACTGTATTCAGCCTTGAAATTCAAAGCCTAAATGTTTTCTTTTAGAATTGCCTATCTATATATTAATATTATTCATGTAAATAAACATAAAGTTTATTTAAATTTTAAATAAATTTTAAATAAATTTATTATTAAATTGTGGTTTTTTTCTCTACCATTACATTATAAAAACATTAAGTACCATATATATGTAAGTAGTTCATTAACATTATTATTATTAACAGATGCTCTTAGCTAGTTTTAAATCTCAGTCAGGTAATATATCATTTATCTATAATAGATAAAATGTGTAAAATTTGATTGTTGATAACAAAAATTATATATATGACAAATGTTTTTTTTGATTTTAACCTCCCTCTGCTTTCCTGAAGGTCCTAGACACCTTGGAATTTTCTCTCACTTCTCTAAGGCCAGAGTTATCGTTCCAGAGGAGATCAACGGCAGGCATATGGCCTTTGAAACGTCACTGAACCAGTGAGATAGCTCATGCACCATTAAGTACGTCATTTGACGTCCCTGGTCCCTCTGTGTAGGACCTACGTTCTCTAGGTCCGCAATTCCCTAACTTCACATGACCCATTAGTCGGATCGCACTTTTATATAGTTCATTAACGTTCTTAAGCTGGGTTTACGCAATGTTTACGTCATTTGTTGACGGATTCGCCTTTTCTGGTCGTCCCCGGCCCCATGGCTATGTCGGTGGACTGCATTAAACGTATGAATATTATTCTTTGATGGAAAGGATCCACTCAGATCATTTCAACCGTGATTCCAGCAGTCTTGTCCCCCAGTTGGATTCGAACTCGTAATCTTCGATCATGACCTGGAGCGCTATCGACCCAGAGGTCTTGACAAATATTTTTAACGAAATTAATTATAAATAGTTGTGTGTAAATATTGGGTTAGAGCTATAGTTGCCGGTAGAATTATTGAATTACAGCATTACGGCATTTTACCAGATGGTAGAATTAATTACGGCACAGCACCTGATTGCTATAAATATTACCTGCCGAAATGCCGTATTGCAATGATACCGTATTACCGTGTTGCCGTATTGATGTATTACCGTACTGTCATAGGGCATAGTATCGAAACCATTCTTGAATGTGTGCCAGGTTTGTGGCGCAGCAAAAATTCTTTAACCATAGCTGCCGCAACAAAATAATAGCAGATAAATCACCAGTCAACCAAATTTCGCTGGCCAATCAGATTTAAAGACCTTGTGTAACGCAAAAGACTCAAAAAATAAAACCAACAAAAAAACGACTATAGCTCAAAATTTTGCTATGAAAGTGCCTTCTGCGTACTAACAAAAAAATTTCCTCATGAAATTTTACCATAACTATGATCCTTTAAACCAAACATTAACCTACTGTGGGCCCTAACCCTAACCTAATTGCGAAACTATTTTTTTAAAAAGATCTCATAGTCGTCGAAATTTTTAGGATGGTGATGCTAGACTTATACAACAAAATTGTCCCGTCAGATACTCGATTTTGATTGGCTAACGGGCGTGGATCTGCAAAATTTTGGCCCACATTACATAACTGTTAACTAATTTCTGGCCGAAATTAACTTTTTTTTTTTTATTCTCAAAATAGAAATAAACCCACATAATGGTAAAAATTTTTTATTCTCAAAATAGAAATTTCAAAGAAATAAACCCGCACAATGGTAAAATTAGCCCAGGAACAATTTTCACTTAGTGGACGGCTGTGATTTCACTAGTAAAATTTTGAGTAATTCCAGCCAAATTTTTTGATCGTTGTTCTTAGCCAATCATATCGAGAACCTGCTGGAACAATTTTGTTGTAGTATGTTTCACCAGTTTCGACAGGTTTACTGGTTTCGCCAGTTTAGCCATTTTGTCTTTTTAAATTTTTTTTTGGCGAAAGTCAAACTAGGTTTCGCCTAACAACTGTAATCACGTGACCTCGTTTATAACAATAATGGTATTAATGTGCAAATTCAATGAATTGATATGTTTAATGTAGGAATAATTACTGAAAAAAAAATTCTTTTTTTTTTATTTTATTTTTAAGAGTGAGGCATGGCCTCAGTCTTTATTGAACAATTTGGTATTACATTAATTAAAATATTTTACATAAATTATTATAGGGACCTATAGTTAGGACTAATTTATCTTCAGCCCAAAACTCTACTAGAGTAGGCTATCAGACCTCTTCTAGGTTTAGTGTTGCAATGTAAGAGGTAGATATATTTGTAATATTAAAAATAGTTGCTTATTTTTTATATTTACTTATAGCTATTTGATCTGTAGCTGAATGTTCAGGTATTGTAACAGTAAGTGTGTTTGTTAGTAAGCTATTTTGATGTATTGCTTTACATCATTTTGTCCATAATTGTTTGTATATATTGTTCGATATTTTGTGAAATAGATTGGTAAGTAAATTTGAAGTAATGTTGCAGTCTGTAGATATGTTGTCTGGAATCAGATCTTGTGTTTTGAAAAGAAGTTGTGTAGCATTTTGTGTTTGGGTAAACTGCTATGATAGAGTAGATATATTGTGGCTTTCAAGTTTGTGCTTCATACTAAACTTGTATATAGTTTGTTGAATTAGCTGATTAAAGGAAATAGGTTTTGCAATGCATTTCAGCCAGTTTAGATTGTCTTCTATATGTAATATACAGTAGTTGCAGGTAAGGTTAGTATATGTTTTAGGTTTCCTGTAATGTAGGTTTAGAAGTGTAGGTAGCCCATTTAGTAGAAACTTGATTTTGAAACTTTTTAGTTAAGAGTGTTTTGGATAGGTATTGTGAGTCTCACTCTTTTCATTTGAACTACTTGTTGGAGAATAAGTTATAAACTATGAATATCCTAATTATTTTTATCCTTCTATTCTGTAATTATTGCTGCAAGTTCTTCTTGTAATTTTTCTAACTTATTTTTTCCTGTATTAGTATAATTTGCAGATAAATGAAAAGAGCTAAAAGAACTAAAAATATTAATTTTTGTGAGATATTGAAGTTGGATATATTGATTATTTTCTTCTATGTTATCTTTAGAGTTCTGAAGCTAACTTAGTATAGTAAAATATATTTGCATAATAATTGGCATATCTTGAAATCATGACAAGTGCAAACATATAAATTAGTGTTTAAATTATCTTTTTTTTATTTCTTTTAATAGTATATTTAATATTAGTATTAGTCATAGAACAGATAATCCAAGTATCTGAGCTAAGATTGTAGATATTGTTCTAATTAATTTTTTTTGTTTCTTCAATCTCTCAAAGTCATTGTTGTCATCTTTATAGATTCATTCTTCTTATATTCAAATCATTCAAGAAAACAGAAAAGTCTAAATCCTAAAGTACTATTTTAACAAATAGATATATTTTATTATCAAGATATCATCTAGGTCTTCCTTTCATATATATATATTTTAATTTTTGATGGAATACCTCTATTAAATTATTTGTATTCATCATGTCTTTACCAATCTCTTTTAGGCAAACCATTTATTTATCATACTTGGGCTTTCATCATCTTTCAAAATATTCTGCGAATTTATTTGTAGCTTCTACATTTATTTGTCTCTATTTATTAATTGCTTTTATAACCTGTTTTAATATTTCTGAATCATCTTATCCTTCAGTTTTCATTAGTCATCAAAGATTTTTCCAAATAATTACTTTGTGTGAATCTTTATTAGTACCACAATAATGATTCAAATTGTAATGTTAGGAGTACAAACATAGAAATAACATAATAATACACTGCTATCTGAGAAGCATTCTTTAATAGCCTTGATCTCTTCATTAGTTTTGTCAACTATAAAGATATTTGGATTCAATTCTCTATTTTTTTCTTTAAAAAATCAAGCCAAGCTTTTAAGGTAACTGATCACTTGAATTTGCTAATTAAAAATATGTGCAGGTATCCACTTCTTGCTAAATGTTGAATAATGAGTATAAAAAAGTAGTATCCATGTTGATTCAACTCATGCATACCATTCAAGCACACAACCTTTGCAAATTTATTAGTTCTTTTTGTTTTTTTGTTTGAAAAACAAACATGAATCTTCTATTATTGTTACTATAATTAAGTGAACAATGCCCACTTATGCAATTTAATTTCTCTTTCCACTTTATTAAAGAATTTAATTCATCATTATCAAGGTAGACACACAATTTTATTGTATTATGCACAATAGTATAAATATTATCTTTTGCTACTAGACTATCTTATAATAATTGAATATTTTGAAATTCTATTTTCTGTTCTAAAAGCTGCATACAATTTTAAAGTTCAATTCTCTAGTGCTGCAAAAGTTATTAGATACTATGAGTATCAAGTCTCTCTAGAGCATGTTGTCTAATGAAATGGTGCATATTGTCAGAAAGAGGAAGTATGCATAAATTTGATAGTCAGCCAGATTGATAATTAATATGTTTATAATAATGTAACAGAATTATCATTGTTGAATCAACTGGGTATGCTACTTTAATATAATTTTTGCATTTATATTTTTTTGTTTCTTTTTATGAAAGTCACAACTTAATGGATCTGAAGAAAACTTTTTCTATAAATTACTTTACCAAAATTGGACAAAAGAGGAAAAAATTTTATATTAAACATAAAGCAATAACTACTAAGTAAATTGCCTTGAACCATTAATTAAACTTGTTCTATACAGTAAACTTAACATAAAAGAGGTACAAATCTCAGAAAAAAAATATTTACTAGTAGCTCTAAATTACAATAATATCAAAAATAGTACTGCAATAAACAACTCACTATTCAGCAAAAGTGGTTCTAAGGACCTTTACATCTTTACTAACCCAGCATATAGGCATAAGATAACAGTTTCAAAAATAATAAAAAAACT